GATCTCCTTGGCCCCCACTGGACGGGGCCTGATCTGAAAGTCATTGACGTTTTGTTCCATAAGCTGTTTTCGCTTTATCTGTTGTTGCCTGAGAGAAGGGAAATGCAATAAGATAATCCTGGGGTATAATGTAATACAATGATGCTCTCTCCTCGCCAGAACGTAAGAACAGCACAGCAATTTTTATCCACCGTTGAGTTGTTTACTTGTCTCCAACTAAGCCTGACTCATAAAACTAACCTTATAAAATGAACACGTTTGCTTTTACTGGAATGGCATGACATTTATGTTTTCTTCCCAAATGTGAAGGCTGGAAGGGACATTTAGAAGCTGAGTCTGTTCTGCCAGGGGGGCCCAGAGTGCGAGAGAGGGGAGATTAAAATCACCTGGGAGCTCTTGACAGCTAGCGTTGTGCCCGGCCCCTCCCCCACCTGAAATCATGATGTTTCAAGTAGTCAGCCCTGGCTGGAAGGCAACATGAGGGGACCGTGCTTAGCGACCAATGTCAGGGACAGGGAAACAAGGGACAGAGTTTCCCCAGAGCACGGGGTTTTCTTTCTGTTGACTAGCGTCCAGCAGAATCTAGTTGAGACTCCCAGAGTCACGGTGTTTCTGTGGCCTTCCTGCAGCTGGCGACAGCAAAGCTTCTCTGGAGCATCATCCCCGCTTTTCCATTCGCTCCAAGGTTTGGGATGAGTTTAAAGGGGGTATTATGTTTCAGAAAAATGTTCTTAGAATAAATACCTATTCTCCATTTCTCATCAGTTTCCTCCAGCTTGTTTCCAATACTCACACCCAATATTTCAACGATTTTACTTTTAAACAAACATATTGTATCTATATAAAGATAGTCCAGACACACACCGGAGGAAAAATCTTTGATCCATTGACACAAAAACAAAGCTTGATGTTTTACAGTAAACAGCTTTTTACTGAAAATGAGACATGACTTTGCAGAGTTGCTGTTAAAATGTGCAGTTTTAACTTCTTGCTGCATATATAAATGTCTTTGCATGGCAAGATGGCTGTCTGTGTAACAGGAAGCAAGAAGCGAATGTTCTTCAAAAACAATTTAAGTCAGGCTGCCTTCTTCAAATGTTCCTGCTTGAAAAGGAGCACATGCTGCATCACCCCAGAGTTTCTTGACTGCACCCACTGAAGCAGGGAGTAGACTTGTCTCCTTATTTACTAAGGCATCATGGGCTGATTTGCCAGAGACTCCAGGTCACCAAACCTTGAGATACTAACACTCCTCCATTTGTCCAGCCTTCATGACATCCTCAGGCCTTTGGCGGGAACTCACTGTCCTGTCCTCAGTCTCCTACTCGGCTGCATTCTAGTGACTGTCACGGGAGCTACTTGTCATTTCCTAGCCCTCCCTCAGAACTTTAGGGGTTTCACTCAGCATCTAGACAGTTCTTTGACCAGCAGCATCAGCGAGCTCTGGAACTCATTAAAATGCTCCTTCCCAGGCTCCACCCCAGATTCACTGAATCTCCCAGCATGCACTTCTGGGAGATTCTGCTGCAGCTCAAGTGTGAGACCCACTGCTCTGGATTAAAGTCCTTGTACAAACCTTCTCTAACCTGGCCCCCATCCACCAGCCAGACCTCAGCGCTGAGTATACCTCTCCATTAACTCATGCTCTCTCCCTTGTCCTGAACACCCCCTCCCTTTCTCTCCACTTGTCTCAACCCTAGTCTTGCCTGGAGATTTCCCCACCTGCACTGGCTCTGGCTCCCATTTATACCTCGCCTGAAAGGGTGCATCCAGGGCCTCCTTCCAAAGTCTCAGATCACCTTCACCTCCATGGCGTTGTGGGTTGTGTCCTCCAAAACGATGTGTTGAAGTCCTAAGCCCCTCACGCCCTGTACCTGTAAATATGACCTTCCTTAGAAACATCCTCTGCAGATGTAATCAAGTTATGATAAGGCCAAAGAGGATTAGCAGGGACCCTAAATCCTATGACAGGTGTCCTTATAAGAAGACCATGTGAAGATGCAGGGAGAAGGACACCACTTGAAGACAGAGACTGAGATGGGAGGAATGCATCTGTAAGCCAAGGCCTGATGGCACCATGACGCTAGGAAGAGGCAGGGACGGATCTACCCAGAGTCTCAGGGAGAGTGAGGCCCTGATGACACCTTGGTTTTAGACTTCCAGCCTCCAGAACTGTGAGAGAATCCACTTCTGTTGTGTTAAGGCTCCCAGTTTGTAGTACTTTGTTATCAGTCCTAGGAAACTCAAGCACAATACACAGGCGCTACCTGGCTGTCTGCCTTCCAGAAGATTTGGGATGATCTTGTCTACAGACACTGGTTCTAAGCACAGTCCCCCTCACCCACACTTTCTCTCCGCCCTCTCTTAGAGGTTGCTGGCTCTGTGCAACCTCTGTGCCATAGAAGAGGACAGTGGCAGCTTCGGAGCCTGGGGGCCTTACTTGCTAGCTCTGTGACTGGCAATTCCTTAACTTTGGGCAAATGCCTCAGTTTCTCCATCCTTAAAATGGGGATAGCAACACTCTTTACCTCAAAAAGCCCTTGTGATGAGTGATACACAGGCAATGTGTAGAACCACGTGAAGCATGTGTGAGAGCTCACTGTATACGTTATAATTTTTATCATGATTCCTCCCCAGTGGCTAGCAGGATGCTTTATGTGCAAGCAGTGAATAAATGCTTGATATTGATTTGGTAAAGATTTGAGGAGCATTTTTTTCTACCAAAATACACACACACACACACACACACACACACACACGCACGCACACACACACACACACGTACGCACACAGTAATGAGTTCAGTCCTTTGTCGGCATTTCATTAGTCTTTCTAAAACAGGACTTTAAAAGTGGCCTGTCTTCCTTCCAACTGACTGCAAGGGAAGCCCAAATCAAAGTGTTGATCATTGCCACAAGGAGCCAGTAATGAGGCATGGCCTGTGGAAGACACATGCAGGGAGGGTTGTGGTGGGGGTGGTTGGGGGGATTCTGCCCTTCTCCATGGATTATGGCAGCAAAAAGCAAGAAACCTATAAAAGAAATAAAACACACCAAGAAAAACAGATTAGAACATAAACCAGGTCATTAGTGGTCCACGATTGTCAACCAGTTCTAGGCTGTAGTCCATAAGCCCTCTTTATACACACAGGAGTCCCCCTTATCCACAGTGTTACTTTCTGCATTTTCAGTTACCCATGGAATATTCCAGAAATAAACAATTCGTAAGTTTTAAATTGAATGCTATTCTGAGTAGGGTAATGAAATCTCTGCCAGAGACATGAATCATCCCTTTATAGCTGTCTACGCTACCTGCCCGTTAGTCACTTAGGAGCCATCTCACTTATCAGATATTTTGAGAGAGAGAGAGAGAGAGAGAGAGAGAGAGAGAGAGAAGAGAGAGGACACATTCACATTACTTTTATTATAGTATATTGTTATATTTGTTCTTTTTTTTATTGTTGTTAACCTCTTATTGTGCCTAACATAAATAAAATTTTATAAGTATGTATATATAGAAATAACATAGAATATGTAGGATTCAGTAGTAGCCACAGTTTCAGGCATCCACTGGAGGTCTTGGAAGTATGCCCCTCAGATCAGTGGGGATGACTGAATTAAAAAGACCTCTGTAGCAAAGAGCTACTAATTGATTCCTTAAAATTATACGGTCACACGGGCATTTGCTTTGTTTACTGTTGACTTTTTCTTTATATAAAGAGCCTTATTCTGGAAGACATTAGAACAATGTGCTGTGCCTCTGGCTGTGTTTTAAGAAAGGGAGATGAAGCTTCCTAATCTGTTTTGCAGATGGACAGTTCAGGCAGCAGGGGGATGAGAAGAACGAAGCACCCTGGTCTGCCTGACCTCGGGAAAGAGGAAGTGCTTGTCACCTTCCCCAGCATCAGCTTCGACCCTTTCAAAAATGTCTCTTTAGCTTTTTTATTTTTATTTTTTAATAATAGCTTTGCACTGTGTGGCTGTAGCAACCTATGTGCAAGCCACAGAGGGAGGACTACTTGACCTTGAGCTTCCGGATTCACAGCCACTTAGTGAACCAGTTATCGTACTCCTCAAATCTAATCGCGCTGACAGTGTGACAAAGACAGGAGTTTAAGATATGGGGTGGGGACATCTATATCGAGTAACTTTGGACTCAACATTTTAAATGACTTTCTTTTTAAAAGCTCATTCATGTGCCTGTTGGTCCAGGTACAGAGCTGAGGGAGCAATCCTGGGTTCGGTAACATCCTCCTATGGGTCTCCTATAACCTGCAACTGTTTCTCTGCATCCAGGCCCAGCAGTGGGGCTGCTGGATCGTAGGATGTAGGTTAGCTTGATTTGACCCAGTGGGCCAGACCAACCCGCATCCAAGCTGCCCCCCGCACCCTCCCTCCAGGCACGCAGGAGCAGTCTTAAACTCCTAAACCTGGCCAACGATGGGCCCTGTCTACTTTCTAATGTATCTCCAGTCTAATAGTTGTAAGGGAATACCTCATTGCTTCTTTAATTTGCATTTCTCCAATTACTCCTGGGTATGAGCAAGCCTTCGGAGCTCTGTTAGCATGAAGACATGCGACGTGCTTAGCACAGGCCCAAATGGGTAGCTGTTGTTGTTCTGTAAATACGAGCATCACTTAAATGTGGCTAATGCAATAATATTGTCTTAATAGGAAACTTGTATTCTAGTGATAATTTCTGGTTTCGAATTACATAACTCCTCGCTGTTTCCCTTCTGGCAGGACTCCTATCTGTCCACCACATACTTCTCTCCATTTCCACGGTCTCCACCCAGGTTCACCTGCCCAGTCAACGAGCCTACTACAAACTGCATTTGGTCTGGACACCTCCTCACTCCAGCACGAGTTCTCTTCGCTCCAGCTAGAGGGATCATTTCAAAATCCTTCCTTCTTGGCCACAACTTCCCATTTCTCTTAGGACGGAACCCTCACCATAGCCTTCAGGGCCCGCTGCCCACCCGGCTGCCTCCGTCTGCCTCCTCCTGATTCTCTGGCCCTGATGGCTGCTCCCTGGGCCCCCCCACCCCTGTGCCCCTCCATAATCCCCAAAGCCAGTTCCTTCTTAATCTTCAGAGTTCAGCTCAAATGTCGCTTCTCCAATTCCTAGACTAGATCAATCCTCCAGTTATCCTTTCATAGATCTTAAGTCATTTATAATCAAAGAACCATATTCGCAACCATATATTTGTAGTCCTCCTCCGCCACCTGACTGCCCTGAGGGCCGGGCTGTGACTGTTTTGTTCCCTGTACTCCTGCTCCTGGCACAGGGCTCAGAAGGGTTACATGTTGAACACATCCTAAAGTGAATGCAGAAGAACAAAGACTTCTTTATCGTAGAACAATTTTAACTGAAGCGAAACATGATCCTAAAGCTGTGGGGTCACGAGACACTTCGTCCCAGATGAAGGCCGTGGCCGAGCTGCCTCTGCCTCCACCCGGGGGCTGTGTCCGCTCTGCTTATCTCAGGAGACCCAGCAGAGCTGCCTGGGGGAATCTGTGACTCAGAGGAAGGGAGAAAGGGGAGGCCTTTGTGGGAGATAAAAAGGCTGCATCTTGATAAAAGATATAGCACAACCAAAAAACAGTAAAAATCTTATTTTGAATAAAATGTAGACGCTTTTAAGATTGCCCAATTAAAACAAAATAAGGAAATCAAATCAGCGACGAAAATAACATTTCAAAAGGACAGGCTCCATTTTGACTCAGCTCACAGGATGGGCCGT